AATATAAAGATTTGTATTTCTTAATGCAGTTTTTATGATTTTCTTAAAGAATGTACCTGAACTTCCAGACACTACAGAGCATTCTAGAACTGACCTGTCTCGTGATTTAGCAGCATTGCATGAGATTTGTGTGGCCCATTCAGATGAACTTCGAACACTCAGTAATGAGCGTGGTGTGCAGCAGGTAGGTTTTTTACTAGCCAGTTGTTAACAATGATGTTTCAAGCATAAGACCCTCTGAAGGTAATCAGTAGCTAAATTCTGGTTAACATTTCTATCCTGTCTGATCAAATCCAAGTCATAATCCGAAAAGATCTCAGCAGACAGGAATAACGGGCCCAGACGATGTACTTCTGATGGTATGCTTCCGTAAAAAGTTCAGTCTTGCTCATGAGTCTCAAATGTTAATAACTCTACTGGAAAACGGTGATATTCATACACTTTAGTGGCATATGTGAAAATGGCAAGTGAGCTAATAAGTCAGTATGGATGTGTCTTTTTTCTTTCAGTTTCTGTCTTCATACACAGCAGGCATGGCCAAAATGATTCTGAAATTGATGAGATTTGGAGTGTTTGATAAAAATATATATTCCAAGCTCCATATCTAGAAATTCTGGAGTGTAGCTATGGAAACTGCATTTCTGACAAGCTCTTACAGGGATTCAGATGCAAGTGGATCATGGCCCACACTTGAACAAACACTAGTCTGTATTAGTAGACTTCTTTCTGCTGTAGAGACCAACAGATTGGGATACAATCAGAGAGGGACTAAGGGACTAGAATTTAAAGGGACTTAAAACCAGGTCAGTTAAGCTATTGGAGATATAGAGAAGAAAACAAAACAACAATTTGGCCTCAGCTGAGAGAAGGACCACTGAGAGGAGGATGTTCCATAGTTTCTGTACACTGGCTAACCACTGGCAGGGATTTTGTAGAAGAGACTAAAGCATTGAGTTTGGTGATTATGAGTTCCCTTCAACCCCAAATTCTAGAATCCTCAAATTTTGAAGAGTCTTATTCATTAGGGCTCCAATCACTTTAAAACTTATTATATGATCTGCCATAGGTACTAAATTAAAAATAAGACT